TTGGGATTAGGGTTTGGGATTAGGGTTTAGGGTTTAGGTATTAGGGTTTAGGGTTTAGGTATTAGGGTTTAGGTATTAGGGTCTAGGGATTAGGGTATTAGGGTTTAGGGTTTTGGGATTAGGGTTTAGGTTTTGGGATTAGGGTTTAGGGTTTAGGGTTTAGGGTGGTTTAGGTATTAGGGTCTAGGGATTAGGGTATTAGGGTTTAGGTTTTGGGATTAGGGTTTAGGTTTTGTGATTAGGGTTTAGGTTTTGGGATTAGGGTTTAGGGTTTTGGAATTAGGGTTTAGGGTTTAGGGTTTAGGTTTTGGGATTAGGGTTTGGGGATTAGGGTTTAGGGATTAGGGTTTAGGGATTAGGGTTTAGGTTTTGGGATTAGGGTTTAGGGATTAGGGCTTAGGTTTTCCCACAACAATTGGGGGTACCATTTTTGGAGTTCCCATAATAAGGACTATAGTATTTTGGGGGTCTATATTGGGGTCCCTTTATTTTGGGAAACTACCATTTGGGGAGAGTAAAAACAACAATCCAAAGTGGCAAGAATAATGCGTATACTAACTAAACAACAACAACAACAACAACAACAAGAACCGGGTTGTATGGTAGTGTAATGTAGAGGTTTACTAAAAGGGCACAAGGGGCCTTAGGGGGGCAGCAGGAAGCTAAGTAGCGTAGCAAAGGAACTTGTTCGAGAACTTGTTTTACGATTCCCGTATCTGGGATGTGGGCTTCAGAGTTCGGGGGCTTTGCCTGTTTGCGAAAGAAGGATTGACAAAGAGTTGGTCTGTGGTCCCACTGTAATGCATGCACCTTCATCTCCAGCTTTTTATATTGGCCAGTCAAGCAGGATCAAGCCGGTAAATTTTGAAGTCACTGCTCTGCCGCACGGCCCAGGATGCCGAAAACAGCGCGAATGAGGGTTCGGCAGATGATGGTTGAGAGAAGAAAACGGTCCGACCTCTGTGTTGCCAGTATTGCAGGGTGAAAGCAGCAGCTTTGAGTTTCAGCAAAGATGTGCTGCGCAGGTTATACCGCATTTTGCGAAAAGGCACAATGCGGGGCTACGCCTCAGTGGCGTTCTCCCCTCACAACAAGGCGGCTGCCTCCCATGCGCTACAGGCACTTTTTGTCTAAGGGCCTTTCATATTCATTAGCATTGGGCTAAGGGCTGCAAGAAAGCCAGAGTACTTGAGTGTTGCGAGTGGCACCGGTTGCTGTTGCAGATCTGCATACGGCGCCACAGCAAAGTCTGAATCAACCCGATGCTCTCAAAGCTAACTTCTATTGAATGCCATCCTGGTCAGAACCACTTGGCGGCACTTGGTGAAGTCCTCAGTTGCGTTGACATCCCTGCTCTCCACACGTGCCGCTGCAGCAGCTGATGAGAACGATGATGACGATGATGATGATGATGATGATGATGATCATGATGATGATAATGGTGCGGAGGAGGAGGAGGAGGAGGATGAGGAAGCGACACACGATTTGGCGGCCGAACAGCGAGACAGGGTTAGACTAGCTTGACAAGTGAAGCTGAACAACATTCTTAAGGCTGGTTCTGCATAACTGAACCTCACCTGTGCTTGCAAACATCCTTGCGCATGGCTTCAGCTGCAGCAGCGGCCAAAGTTACGTGCTCTGCTGCTGCTGCTGCTGCTGCTGCTGCTGCAGCTGCAGCACCACCAACAACAACAACAACAACAACTACACCTGACACTTCTACTCCTGGTCCTGATCTTGTTACTACGGCTGCCAACACGATGGCGGCAAGTACTGTGACTACGAACATGACCACGACTGCGATTGCCAGTATGACTACAGGCAGAACCATTTTGTCTTCCTCCTTTGCGGCAAATTTTGCTTTAGCGGATGCCGCTCATAATGGAAGCTATCTGGCACCACCTGGAAACTGAAATCTCGGGAAGCACAACCATTCAGCCGGGCTGGGAGGTGCAGCAATTGATCAATAACAGTGACGTTATTGCTCTTTTTACTCAAAACATCAGTATTTCTTTTTACAGTCTTCCGGGGGCACCTTGTGGTCTAAAACCACTGACCAAGGCTGCGCCCCAGACTACTTGCTGTCAGTTTGGGACTGGCGGAATGAGCGGCTGCTGCTGAAATGCAAAGCCTATGGCCAGGACCTGGCACTGAGTGTAGCTGCAGGTAGGGCTGCGTGCTGACAGGATGGTCCTTAGAACATGTTGTGGTACCTGGTCTAGGGGGCTTGGCAGGGTTTCATGTCTGCTCGGCAGTGCTAATCTGTTTTAATAGGAGATCCCTATGCTGGGAGACCTTGGGTCTGATGCGCATGAGAACACAACATGCGGATGTTCACTTGATCTAATGCTTGCGTCGTCGAACCTAGCCAAAAACTGAGTGCCAGGGTTTGGGATTTGGCAGAAGCTGATGCCGTTTCCGCCTCCTGATATAACAAGCGTAAAGTGTATAAATAGATGTGGCCAACGGTATTGGTTGCAGATATGCACGCTGTCACTCATCACCTCTGGAAGGACGTGTTCAGCATCCGGTGGGGCCAGTTCCCGGGTATGCTGACATCCGTAGGGGTTGGCCATATCCGGCCTGGAGCTCGGACCCTTCGAAATGACAAACTGGAGGTGTTGGCAGAAGGATTCGCCGGGTTCACATACATTCAGCGTTACGAGAGGGACCTTTTGTCTTAGCGGGGTCGCCCTTCCTGGATGCCTTCATGAAATCAGCTCCAGAGTCAATGATAGTCTTCTACTATTACCCGCTTCGGTGTGCTGTTGCGATTGCAGTGGCGTGGACCTGCCCGCCCTTTTAAGGTCGAGAGTGTTTGTTTGCATGGCATATTTTGTGCATGTTCAATGGTAACACAGCGCACGTGTAGTTGGTTCTTGTGGCTGCATGGATGGTCTTTCATGGTTGTGAGTGGCTGCAGTCTCAGCTTGCCTTTGAACGGCATATCTGCGCGTTGATGCAGGTCTTCAGATCATGACACCTGTGCCGGCAAATGTGCTGCTGCATATATGTAGAAAAGTTCTGATTCGCAAGATAATCAGAAGGCCTGTGTGTTAGTGCTTGAGGCTGAATGCCTCGCCTAGTCTCTTTTTCTACGACCATTCTGCCAAGGTAAAGTCTAGTCAAACCATAAGTCGAACTGTTGAACTAAAGACAGTTTGACCTGATGTCTGGAAGCTAAGGTTCTGGAAAATGGCGACAACCTTCACTGGGTTGAAGCTGCAGGGAGCGTTGGGAAAGGCCTGTGAGCACTTTGCGCAAGCACTTTCGGATAAGCCCCTCCCCCATTGTGCTGCGCAGTTTGGTGCTAGCGAGCTTTCCGATATCTCCGGTTTCGTGGAACTGCCGGATGGCAAAATCGTCTCCGGAACCGAGTGCCGGCCTTAGCTTCTTGCATAATTTCTTCTCGTAAGTACTTAAGGCCGACAAATGGTAGTGTTGACAGTTGCCTTCAGATGCAAGCTCACAACTCCAATGCCCTCCGAAATTCAACTGGGCGTTGCAGCCTTGCAGGTACGGAAAGCTGCTTGTGTGGGAGGGGGTGTTCGTCAAGGCGGGGTGGTGTCTGCTGCTGGTGAAGCCTTCCATCTGTACCGGCAAGCCATCGTTGTTCTTACTTTTGGTTAGCTAGGAATGAAGGAGTGGATCCTTCTAGTAGTCCCTATATAAACTATTGAAGTAGTTGTCCATTTTCTTTTCCTTTCCTTCATTCCCAGCAAACCAAAAGTGACTGTTTTGCTGAAGCAATTGCATCTTATCACCGTACCCCACTCATCACCTACCATTTTTACCTTGCTACCGCTACTGCTATGACAAGAACCAAGACTGCGAATCGACAAGTTCCCCGCATTTCCCCCTATCACTACCGCAGAGCTCGAATTGTAGGGTGATTCCGTACCCGCTGCACAAGAAATTGTGAAGTTGCATGTGCAACCTTCGCGAACCATGAGCTTAGAACAGACTTTCCCTAAAATCCTTGGCCAAAGCGCCAGTGCTGGCTTCTCACCACCGGAGAATATGCAGCAGGGTTTCGATGCGTGTGCTTAATGCCGTTAGCCTTCCTGAGTTTAGATTTCTTGTTGCTGACCTCTACTTCTGTTTTTCCTTGATCATACTCTGCATGGAGACTCTGGGGCCCCCGGTGATCTGCAGCCTCGTTGGCATTGCGTTGTGTCCAAACCCACCAAGGACCGCTTGAAGCATTTGCCCTGTGAGCATTTGGCTAAGCTGTGAAGCTGCCCAGTTTCGGTTACAGAAACTTTGTTTTGGCTGCTTTTGCTGGCAGGTGGAGCTCATGCGTTCCAAGGATGGCAGCACACTTCAAGATGCGCCCACCAGCCTTGCGGGGAGCCGGTGGCCCAGGAGGGCTCAAGGGAGTAGCAGGATATGCCGGATGTACTCATTGCAGGTTCAGTCTCAGGCGTTTGGGGGGTTGGAGTGTGGCTGGTGCCAAGAGGTTTGGGTATTGGAAGAAAGGTCTCAGGCTAGTAGGGGATTTTGTCGGGGCTCTGGGAACAGGAGTTGGATCTGGGGTTTGGGATGGAGGATTTTGTTGGTGAGGTCCATGGATTGAAGGTTGGGGCGGTGCAGTTTCATGCCATCCCTTGCAACTCAGAAAGTCGCTTGTCTCAGAAAATTCCTTAGGACCATTGACTTTCCCTTGCGCATGATAGTCTGCTTTTCAAGGGGACCAAGGAGTGCCTTGCAATCCACGATCCATGCGATGTTGAGGCCCTCATACCGGCGCCATCGATGTCATCCTCATTGACAAGGAAAATGGGCTGGTGATCTCTGGCGGTGATGACGGTGGGCTGCCTAGAAGCGCTTCCATACATGCATGCAGGTTCGTCAGGGTTTCCGTTGGGAGAAGGAGACCCTCGGCCCGCGCAGCATTCAGGATCCTGAGATATCCGGCTGCCTCACCCAAACCTACTTGTCATCTTTAGGTTCCAAATTCAGTTCATATTCCTTCCCGCTGCGTAATGCAGAGAACAGAGCAACCAACCCTAAACCGTCAGCCTTTTTAGGTTTGTAAATTGTTCAGGCTTCCTCCGATGGTGGCCCATTGACGAGATCGACAGCGCTGAGGCGGACTATGACAATGGGATCCTGGAGTGCGGCACCAAGCCTTTACTTTTTTTTGGGGGGGCAGAGGGGCAGGACCTGGGGCGCGGTCCCTTCCGTTGCAGGTCTGGCGAGGCCCACTTCCCTCCTAGCCTCTGAAGACAAGAAACACAACCCCATTTGGCAGTTTTATATTGAAGATAATAATGGTCGAGACCTCACTCTCATGTCATAGCCAGGTGTCCCACTCAGGATTGAGTCCTCTTCCCGTCAGGGGCTTGAAGAAGCACCAACCTATGTCATGCGCCCCATGCAGAAATCTCCATGCCCTTCCAACATAAAGCTTGAGGCATTATGTAACCAGGGCTTACGAAGAAGCATGTATCACAACAATGATAAGCGCCCAGGTATGGTATCCGTATGCGCAAAGAGGTGCGCATTCCCGTGTGCTTGCCCCAGCTGACAGTTTTCCATCATGCGCACTGTCTAGTACAATCCCGGATCCTTGTCTTTGTTTTAGTAAAAAGGCAGAATAATATATGCCTGCAAGAGATGCTAATGGCTAGCCCTCGGGTGTCCTTTGTTGGGCTGAGTTGCTGATCCTAGCTTCCTTGGGTTGCATCTTAGGAGTACTGAGCAGCACATCTACCCGGCCCACATTCAGCACGTGACCGTCTGCAGGGATCCCAGTGTCAAGCAGGTCTGATTTTTGTATGTGTCTTGCCACTCCTTTCCTCCTGCTCCTGCTGCTAGTGCCATGGCAGTATTAGCAGCAGTTGCACAGAAGATGGGGGGGGGGGGAGGGGCAGAATGCTGATGAGAACAGCAGCCAGCTTCAGGCCATGACGAAGTCACCTGGCTGATCCAGGACAGACCATTTGTTATTGTTAGGTTGTCATGTGCAGGCTCAAGCCGGATGTTCTTATCCTGAAGGTTAAGCTGAACATTTATACACGGTCGCCTCTGTGCAGGATTCCCGAAATGGAATGATTTGGCTGTACGACATCATGAGCTCAAATTGCCAGATGGTCTTCAGCTGCCACAGCAAGCAGGCAGCTTTCCTTTCGCCTGCTTATTCATCACCTTGTTTTGTTGCGGCCTCACTTTGCCCACCTTGCCTGACACCACTGTGAGCACAACATAGCACAACTTGGTCAGGTTTGGATTGTAGGCTGCTACAAGTCTTGCAGTACACTCAGTTCCCAAACCAGATTGCGGATGGCCGTTCTGAGGGGTCCTAGATTCTAGGACCTAGAACAGAGCCCAATGTATTACAATCCTTATCACAGGGACTCTCAAAAGGGGAATTTTTTGGTGGGAACAGGAGGGTAAGAGGGGTGGGCCTTGGTGGCAGGTGACGGGCACGATCGCCTCCTCCGCCTACGGGGGGCTGGTCATGTCCTGTGGCCGGGGAACTCAGGAAAGCTCTGTTTTTTTGATGCCTTCTGTGCTCTGCAGTATGAGAGAGGTTGCAGGGCACTCGGGGGTTTTCGACTTCTGGGACTTCCTTGAGCTCAAGCGGCGCGCGTGGCCGTGTGTTTGCATGAGGCATGGATGGTACGGTGCGTGCCTTCAACGTCTCCCAGGCCTGGGACAACGAGCTGTGCCGACCTTGGAGACTAGCAGTGAAAGAAGAAGTCTTGTGTTGAAGAGTCAAAGAGATGCCAGGGAACGATTGTGGCCAAAGTTTGTAGGCATGATCGTTTGGGGTGTAGGTTTGGTTGATATGTGCAAAGCAGCTCTAGCCGCAACCGTTTCTGGACTAATCCTTTCCCCTTAATATTAAAGGGCTCCCCCCTCCCCTAAGGTAGATATTCCAAACCATATTTGATATTAGGAGGGGTAATTGAAATCTGATTAAAGTCGTACACAATCCGATTAAATCTAATAAGGGACTATTTCAACTTAGGGGTTTATTAGGGACTACTTCGAATTAGGGCCTTATTAGGGACTAATTGAAATTGGATAGGGCCTTATTAGGGACTATTTCAAATTAGAGCCTTACTAGGTGCTATTTCAAATCATGATCTTATTAGGGACTATTTGAAAGTAGGGCCTTATTTGGGGTTTATTTGAAATTAGGGCCTTATCAGGGACTATTCCAAATTTGGACATTATCAGGGACTATTTCAACTTGGGGCCTCATTAGGAACTATTTCGGATCAGGTCCTTATTACACAATGTTTCAAATTAGGTCCTCATTAGGGACTTTCAAATTAGGGCCTTATTAGGGACTATTTCGGATCAGGGAGACAATGTTTTAAATTAGGGCCTTATTAGGGACTATTTCAAATTAGGGCCTTACTAGGGACCATTTCAAACAAGGGCCGGAGAACGCACTTTTCCAAATTAGGGCCTTGGAATCTGTTTCTGGAATTCTTCTATATAAATTCCTTTACAAAAGCCATTCAAAAGCAATCAAAATCTAGGAAATCAAGGAGATCCCTAATCCTAAAGAAACGTGCTTAAAACCCCCGTTAATTCGCCGCGATTAACTTTAGTCTTGGCCCTTTTCAAAGTAGTCTTGGGGGCAGAAGTCAGAATTTGGAACTCTGGCGAACCCATATTCAATATTAGGGGGGGGCTTTAATATTAGGGAAAGCGATGTGTGGGAGATCTACCTTCACATTAGCTCTCAGTGGCCTCAGATTTCAATGCAAGGCATCATTGATGCGGCTTAAATTCGGAGTCATAAGCTGGATTCGACCTATGGGTTCATTACAGACTTCAACCCAAGTCCTATAAGAACTTACCATAATAGTTTGACGGCAGTCAGTGCTACAGGACCATGATTTGAGCATGATGATGATCATTGTCACCATGCTAGTTTTTGTCCTGCCTCAGGTTCCGGGATGCTCGACCTCTCGCCAATGCAGGGGTCGGTGCTACATGCAGCTCGGCGCAAGGATTCACGTACAACACCCTGGTGTCTTTAGTGGCTTGCAGCGTGACAGCTCAAGAGCCTCCAATAAGCAGCCTTTCATGCCCCAAGCGCTATTACCTGTCAGTGGTGTCAACATGATGTTCAAGTGGCAGCACATGGTAAATGGGTTGCATGATCTCAAATCCCAAATTTGTCCAGACCTCGCACAAGGTATGGATGCCACGCCAGAGCTTGCTTGGAGCCCAGCTTTTGCTGCAGTCGCGGAACTATCAGCAAAACACGACCACAGGAAGAAGGGCAACATCATTTTTGGCCATGTAAGCCATCTGGACAAATTGCCCTCGACCGAGATGAAGCTCAGTGCCAGGTTGACCCATCCAAGCGGACGGTCTGCGTTGGCTATACAGCCGTGTGCTTGGTGCCGGTTATAGGGGTTGAGCTAGCATTTTGGGGATTCGTACACTTGTCATTTCAGACTTTTAGGCACGACTATGAGAGGAGAGGAAAGGCTCGGCAGGTGACAATTCCGAGCTAGGGAGAAGGTTTGCAAGACAAAAACCCATCCCAATCAACACGCCTTTGCCCTCCTACCGGTTAGGACGGCACGATTCGAGCTTTCACTGCCTGCGCTGATGGCTTTCTGCAGCTTCAGGCCATGGGAGTCATTCGCTCCAATAGGTAAATTGTGCAGGAAACAGTTCATCTGGCAACCCATATATGAAAATCGGAGGAGTAACAACCGCCAATTTCACGGAAAGGTAGGGGAAAGGTCTGCGAGTCTGTGAGGAAGTTGATTTCAAGATATTTCAAGATGAGCCTCAAATCTTGTGGGGCTGCTGACAGCGGTACTGATGTGGACTTCTTAATGAGTTTGGACGCTTCCAAATTGCATCTGCCTGAAGGCTCTGAAGCCGCACAAGTGCATGGTCAAGCAGCTCAAGCAACCTGCTGAGAAAGTAAACTTGGTCTTCACTAATGCCAACTATTGACCCTGTATGAGGATATACAATTCCTGTTGCAACAAGTTTGCAGGGGTCTTGCAATCATGATGTTCTGGTCGAAAGACCTGCTTGTGAGTTGTAGCTTAGATTCGTGAAGTGTGAAGGTGAAGTGTATCAAGAGCCTTTCTGCCTCATTCCAACCATACTTGCTAGCAAAGGTAATCTATCAAGGATCGCACCAAGGTTCAAGTCCAAGCCTGTTGCCTTAGAAGGACTTGGCCCCCAAATCACCTCTACAAAATTGAAGGAATCGCCCAGCCAAGGTACAGTGGGGAGGATGCCGGCCTGCTAGCCACGCTTGGAGAGGCCTTCTGAGTGTATGGAGCCAAACCATCAACCCCTTAAGTAATGACTTTGCACCCAAACATCCTGCAACTTGGGCTCGCAAGTCTCAGCCAATGCCTGAGCTTGCGAGGACAACTCCGTGTTCTTCTTCCAGGTGCAGATGCTCTCAGAGCACGCGTCGAACCCAGTCTTTGCGAATGGCGGTTGGGGTTGAAAGGTGCGTTTTGCAGGTAGGATTCAGCCCTTCGTATTTTTTTTCAGGGCAGCTGGCTTTGGGGGGTCAGGTCAGCCCATGAAGTCTGCACACGGTGAGAGGACCTCTGCCAAAGAATACCTCCGGCTGGACTGCTGTCGGTCGTGTCCTGCTCAAAGTCTGTCGAGTAAACAGCTAGTTTGGCAGTGCACTTCCGAACCACGGCTCCGTACTCTGGACGGCACCTGTTATAACCGGCCCAGACTTAATGCAATGCGTGAACCCCAGAAGCCCTGGCGTGCGTCAATCTGCAGCATGACAAAAGCTCCAAGGGTTCATTTTTTAGCTGAAAGATGGCCTAGTCTCATCATGTTGAACATTCTCAAACGCACATAACGATCCCCACGCCCGAATTCATGTATACAAGGCTATTCCTGTGGGTTTCGTGTCAATCCCGGCGGCCGTGAATTTCTTCGCCTGGGACGACCTCTCAGGTGCGAGCCTGAATCCCCACATCGCCTCCTGCTCTGTTCGGCTTGCATTGAGGTTTCTTAGGCTGGGCGGTTCAAAATGTGCAGCGCAGCCTGCTGCCAGCCACATGGCTCATGTGCAGATTCATGAACTCAAGCACTCATGGATTGCTTGCAACGGTGTCTAGGTTTGGTCGATTAAGCAGAGTCATGGTTCGCAGAGTGCTCTTTCAGGCTGATAGGAGTCGATGCTGCGGCAAGTCCAGTCATGCCCCTGTAATTATCCAGAATTTCCTGCGTTCAGGGTTTTGGACGTGAGGCCACGTGCTCCTCAGCTTGGGTGATGGCTTGGAGCTCAACATCCGACTGTTGCTCAAGAATCTTTACGCTCGTGTTTTTTACTTCTCATATTTTCATTTCGGCCACACTTGTGATCACCAGTTCGCAGATTTTACATTTGATGATGGTGGTGACACTCTATACTCCGATGACAAGAATCCTAACAATTATCAGCTTTGGCATGTCACCAAGCTCAACCATGTCGCTTTCCAGCATTCCTGGTAGCATATATCCCAGTATGAGCCCAAGTGACTGCCATGGACTTTCGTTGCAGTGGATAGCCGGTCTCAAAAAGGATACTCAAACAAAAAGGTGATCTGAGCTTTTCAGTCAGGTACCGTGCAAAATTGTCATGTCAGAAGCATTGCCAATCGCTTTAGATTTTTGCGGCTCATCGTTCCTGGTTGCCAAGCAAGTCTTGTGTGTATCTTGCAAACCTTAGCAAGGCCAGCATGCGCTATGCATGATGAGCCAATTATGCTTATGTAACGCTCCTGCTCGAGCAAACCCTCGAGGTGACAGGGAGTCCTTCTGACATGGATCAAATGTCATCAAGCAAGGATCTCTTCTGGTGCTAAAGAGCCCGGTGCCAGAGAACGTTGACAACACGGAGTCGTGCCGTCTTCCCATGTGTTGTGTCGTCAAAACTTGAGGGCAACTCTAACCGCAGACAGCTGCCCCTGAAGGCCTATACCTGAGCCCTTGATTTGTGGTCCTGGGGTTTAGAGCTGTGGAGTGGGGCGCTTTCAAGATATTTCGAGATGTCGCTTGCTCGTGCTGAAGAGCGGCACCAAGGGCATGGGTCATGTTTTGTCAGGTACGACATCTCTGTGAACTACATCTCTGTCATGCCTGATGTGCCCGAGATTGAAGAGTGCAGCTCCCAGATGATTCCACTACAGCTGACGCGTGTATCCTTTTTTCTTTACAATCTTGGACACATGAAGCATAAACAATAGCAAGTACACGATCAGTCTGGGCTGCTCTGACATCGCATTTGGCTGAGTTCGGACGAGGAGGAAGAGGAGGAAGAGGACCTTGGGCTTCTCCAAAGTCATTGCTTGTTTGGCGCGATGTCATCGTTTTGGGTCCTCTTTTTTTCTCAGCACGGTACAGTAATAATGCGTGCTTTTTTATGGCCGGGCTGAATTCTGGGGTTATCCGGGATTGGTATTTAAGCGGATCGGGTTTGCGGATTCGACAGCCTGCCTCGCTGTCCGAAAATTCCTTAGGCCGGCAGGCCTAATCCTATTCTTGCCACTCGGTATTCTCAGACAAGGCACGCGGGCCCTGGTTTTCCAAAATCAGCATCAGATCCCGACGTTGATTGCACGTTTCTTGAAGTTCCTACACAAGCTGTTTAACAGCAACCAGCCCAAGTTTTCACGCAACTTTTCGTGCTTAGCGCTGTTCCAACACCACCCTGCCTAGATAGAAGATTCATCGGGCAAGCCCCCAAGCCAATCTAATCGTAAGTTGCAAGAGCTCATGCCTTCTGCGATTCTTTGTTCCTTACCTGAGAGCTCGCAGGAGGAGGGCGAAGAGGGTGCCGAGGGCGGCGAGGATGGCGAGGCTTCGCCAACGGCTGCCGAGGTCCGATGACTTCTGGGTTGTTTGAGTAGCTGTGTCATTGAAGTTGAGATGGTGTTTGGCTGTACACTGTAGGGCGTCTCATCCCAGCTTGCGATGGTCCTCGAAAATACAACCTTTCTGTCTGATCTGAACGAGCATGTCGAAAGGGTGTGGTTCACTAGATGCAAACTTTCACGGTTTCCTCATTGACCCTAGACTGTTGTGGCCAACTATGTCCTTGTCAGTCAACGGTTCAATCGTGAGCACTGGGCAATAATCTTCGCTGTCTACACAAAAGGTTGTAGAATCTGGAGAAGTTTTCAAAGATGAGCACATTCTCAAGCACCTCTCAAAACAGGTCATCTGGAAAGCACTATCTTCTTCAGGGTTCCTGGGGACCCCTGAAGTCAGGAAACATCTCCACTCCCGTAATCCCAACTTCACAGGAGCCTGCCGGAGAAACAGAGGCGGAGGCTGGCTTCACTGAACAAACCTCAGGAGTCAATAGTTATCGAATTGTGTACCGACATGATCTAATATTGGTAGTTATACCTCAGTTTACCCCTATCTATCCCGAAATGTACATACATTTTTGGCTCTCCTTCTCCCTCCTGCTCACCTTGTGGCATGGTCCGCAAGCAGCTGTCGTATGCGGTCGTCTACCAATTTGTCATCCCGAGCCCAGCCATGATAGCAGCGTCAACTGACCCTACCTCGGTGCCCATCCACAGCTGCTTTCAGCCAGGCCGATGTGGATGAAGACGGCAAGAGAAAGAAGAAGAAAAAGAAGAAGGCACGTGACGGGTGCAAAGTGTAGTTACACACGCCTCATGGATACGTAGTTCACACGACAGGAAGATCTCAAGCGCTTTCCATGCAACACTTGTTCTGCAACATCTTAGACTGGCCCTTCAGAACCTGGTGAGGAGAAGGAGGAGAAAGCAAAGGACGATGACGAGGACGGTGAGCATCAGAAGGAGGCCGGAGCCGTGGTCATGTCACGGCTGCCCCAGTGAGGTTGTGCTCCTTAGCTTTGCTGCTTCTAGTGTAGCTTAGCTGTTTCTTGTCAACAGACCAAGAGTCGGGCAGATGGATGATGATCGGTAAGTGAAGGTAGAGCTTGTGGAATCTGTGTTCTAGGTGGTCGTGACAGCGGTGTCTCGCGCGATCTACATTCCCAGCGAAGGCAGGGGCCAAAGTGAACGTGCCTCCCGCACCAAGCACTTCAAAGACAGAAGCCAACGAAAGCAAGTGAGATTAAGCCCAGCACTCCCCCGCCGTGTTTGTGTATCCCGGAAAAGAAAAGCTTCTCACAGAAAGCCTTCGCGTTTATGCGATCAGTTTGAGTTGGGCATAGTTCTACAACAGGATACCTTTGTAACCTTAGAGACTCCGACAGAGCATGTGGCCGCCCAAACACGGATTTCGCATGCCACCTCCTGAAAAGTACGTGACACTAACAGAAGCCGAAGTCAACCCCCGAATCCAACGTCTCCAAAGCACCGCATCTAAGCTGCGAAGCTCTCTTGCTCCCTTTTCTTCATTTACCTAGAGGCTCAAACTCCTCCAGGCTCTCCACAACGAAAACTTTGATATCTCAGCTAAGTTTGCGCTGCAAACTTACACCCCAGTTTCCCTTCAGGTGATGACAACGAGCGACGCATCATCTTCACAGGGACGGGCAAGTGAGCCGCGTACATCTTGTAATTTCAGGGACCCATGTGTTCAAATCATCGTACAAGGCAGTCAAGAGTCATGACGCTCTGATGACATTATCGGCTCATTACCGATAGCGCAGCGCACAGGCACAGAAAAAATGCTTATGCCGGTTGGGGACCCTGAAGAGAAGTGCCACGCGAGCACGTGCCCTGGCTCAGGTACACTGGCGCCCTGTGGGAGTGCTCCCTCTTTGGCATCCAGGAGCAGCGACTGCAGTGGCTTTGGAAGTGTAAGTGGAAGTGGAAAGGGTACTTGATCTCAAGGGTTAGTTCGTAAATTGCCAAGGCTTGTGGTGTCGGTGCTGTAGGGTCGAGGTTTTTGCTGGGGCAGCCGATGCAGGGAAGACTGCAACCTCTTTGTTGATCTACGCTTGTAGTGCTTCTGACGTGCAAGCCCTTCAGAACTCCATAGTGCGGGGGTACGGGACCGGAGATGCAAGCGCAAAAATCAGCATTTGATTACCCCGTGGCAACCCATACAACCCATCAGGCAGACAACTTTCATGATGATGGGAGGGACGTAGAGATTGAGATGCAAAGGTTTTGCGCTTGCATGTTTGAATTTTGTTGTTTGGCAATGTCAGCTTCTTGGCGCCTTTCCAGCGCAGATATGGCGCCTGCAGGTCTCACCCTAGAAATTCTGCGCGGTGTTGCAAGAATCTGGTACTTTCCTCTTTACAAGTAGGGTTGATGCTTTGCATGAAGTTTGACTGAGTAGCTTCGACAGCATGGCGAACATAACGATCGTGGTGCGCAGACGCATGTCGGTCAGTGTCTTGGCTAAACATTCGCGTTTGTAGCATGCAGGACGACTTTCTGAAGAAATGTCCCGCCATTGACGCAGCAACCCGTTTGTAGAGTTCATGCAGCCACAGCGCAGGAGACGAATGCCGCCGAGGCAGGAGGGCTTCTTCAGGGCGCCAATCCACGACTCAACTAGCGCATTTCAGGCCTTCGTTGGCTTGACCCCTATCCGAACCAGGGTAGATCAGCAGCACCAAGTGGCAATTCAATTCAGCGGCAATCCAACCAGAAACAGGTGCCCCTGACACAGCGTGTTTCAGCGCCGCTGGGCTGCATGCTGCGGGCGAAGCTGCCGAAGAACGTAAACGCACCCGTCTCAGCGTCTTAGCAACCGGGCAATCCAACGCGAAAGCACATAGCTTGCAGGTGACCCACTTGTCTCTCTCCCCTGCGGGCAACTGGATCATCGTTGGTTTTGCCGATGGGCTTTGATCTCAGCATGTACAAGATCCCATACACAAGCTTGCAGGTTCGGGCGGAGTCCTTTCGGTCCATATCCAACACTGCCGGCAACCGTGGACCTAAGCATTTCAAAAAACATCTCAAAGGGCTCACTTCAAACTTGCGGGTTGTCATCACGCAGGCATGTTCGGCAATCTTAGTGCAGAGTGCGTGATATCACGAGCTGTTTCTTGAAAAGTTTGTGCAATGGTGGATGAAGGCATGAACAGTTCAAAAAGTTCCGTTACGTGTCTGGCGACATGCGGGCTTTCTCGTACAAAAGCCATCTGCTAGGCAAAGTCCCGCCGACGCAAAACATAGTGAACATCCGAGGCGGATTTGGCTTGTTCCGCGGATACACGGCGGTTGCTTCCTCTGTGCCAACGTCTCTGACGGCATTAGTGGCGCGGTATCTCCGGCACGTTCTGACAAGGGGCGTTTCCAACACTTAGGGGTCCACGTTTGGGGGCTTCTATTCAGAGATTTTCCGTGCTGGAATGCGCGTCGAAAGTGTCAGAGTTAGAGGCTGAATTGCATGGGTCAGCTATATTCAAACATATCTGAATCTTTTTCCAATTCGGGCAATGGATGTGGGGGGTCCTGAATGTTATGAAGCCACTGTCCAAGCAAGCGCACATTGAGTTGTTGCGACAGTCTTGCAGTGCAGGCCGTTGAGATTTTGGGTGTTTGCTTGGTCTGAGAGCTCGCAGGATCCAGCTGCAGGCATTGAATCAAAGTAGGTCCTCGGGGCTACCGATTCGGTTTCTTGCAAGACTGACAAAGGAAGACTTCTTTTTTAGCAGCTACATGTACAATTTTTCTGCGAGTCTGTAAGGCACGATGTATTCCACGCGCAAGGTGGCCAAAGGTTTAGCATTGGAATTTACATGGATTGTTTGTGAGGCAATGGGCCACGGTTCAGAAACAACCATTCGGCACTGTGCCATTTTGCGTTGAATTGCTAAAAAACCAAGAGCAAAAACATGGGGCGACCCTGTGCCAGGTGAACTCGGTTCAGATGGTCGACGACGAAACCATGTGCCGACCTCAGTCCTGTGCCCACAATTCTGTGGGCAAGCTCGAGGGAAGAGTAGGGAAGAGATCTGCTAAAGCCAGCACGATGCCGACTTCGTGCATGTGAAGCATGTCTGTCGAGCCATTGGTTGTAGCAATGGCTGTCTTGTTCGTAGACATTTTTTTTTAAATTTAGCCAGTGTTTGGTTATGCTCTTGAGGGCGCTTGTAGCTCCTCCACAGAAAGGCCCACTCCACAATGGCGGAGCCTCAAATCAGGCACCATGATTTGAAAAACAGCCTTCCAAACCCTACACCCTGAACCCTCAACCCCATGCGGGGGTTTCCCAAAACTAGGCGTCCCCTTTTGGGGGTCCCTAGAATGGGGATTCCTCTGTCGGGAAACTACCATGTTACACGTCCTTCAAGGATGGTTGTGGCGGCCGGAGATGGCTCGCTGGTGACGCAGCTTGGCTCCAGTGGCTTATTTCCTCTGACGGGCTAATTTGAGTAATTTTTTTGGGTGGTTGTGGGAGATTTTTGGGTGGTTGTGGGAGTTTTTGCAGGGTTTTGGAGTTTAGGGAGTACAGGACCCAGGATCTAAGGTTTCTGAATAGATGTAGGTCCCTTTTTGGGGGTAAGGTTTCGACAACGTCTCGCAATGTGGATTGGGGTTTTAGGGGGTTACACGAGGATCAGCCCAGCAACGTGGCCTTGGGTAGAGCATTTGCTTGTTGAGCAATCTGGATGTCCCGGGTGCATTGGAGCTTTCCGTGCTGTACCTCAGCAATTCACGAGGAATGCAGAGCAGGGGATGTTTGGCGGGGCCGCAAAGACAGCAGTCAATTCCTTTCTTGTCAAATCTAATGGTGTAAGTGGAGGCCGTACCACCAAGTTCCTAGATTTCTAGAGTGAGCTGTGTCAGGCCTCGACACTGCAAAACCCCATACTTCAATCTCCCCTGAAGCTCCCCGTTGTGATGTTCTGCCCTGAGCCTAGGCTTCTTGTCAGTGAGGGGCTGATTCCCCTGGCACAAGCAAAGGCAGAGGGAGTGGAGGCCGGGGACACGATGAGCGAGTTGGCGTTGTGAGTGTGTTGGCTACGGCATGTGAAAGGATGATAACGTTTTGCTGCTGGAGGAATGGGTAACGTAAAAACTTCTCAACGTTTGGCCGTGAGGGTTGGAAATCAAAGTCGCGACTTGTGAGAGTCAAAGAGCTCCCAATAGTCTGGATGAGCGCTGTTGAGAGTTAACGCCTCAATCAAGACAGTGCCACTGCTTGCTAAAAGAACGCAATGCTCTCCCACAACAGAATCTTCAGATGCGCCCTTTCATGACAAGGCTTAGACTCTGGGATGCTGGAAGTGATCACTTCGCTGCCCCGAAGCCCAGACGACCCGAGGCAAACTTCAGAAAACGTGAAAGCCAGGTTAACATGGAAGAGGCTGCCGCTGAGCTGGAGGCTTCTTTCCCCGAGCTCCCAGAGATGTCCATGGAAGGCGCTGGATTCATTTGGCTGTGGTTCTGAGGCTATGGAGAAGGTTCTCAGTTCATACAACAGAGGATGAGAACCCTTTGATACAGATTCTGTCCTAACCGCATGTCTGAATCAGTCATTGATTATTAGTTCCGGGAGCCGGCGACAGCCCTCTTAACAGTAGGACAATGCCCTGCAGAGCTTTTTGACTTCAAGAGCTGGCCTCGTAAGGATTTTATTGTTCACGCTGCAAAATCGAGATGGGGTTGTTCTGAAATGCGAGCATACATTCCAAGTCCGGGCTTCGTAGACGTGCCCTGTGTTGCGGGCCGCCATGCCGCGACTCCTAGATGGAATGCTAGGAGGCAGAACAAATCCACCAGAATGAAGCAAGAATACGGAAGTGTCAGCCCCAAACCCAAAGCCTCAAAAATTGATCCTGAATCCTTCAAAGTCAATGCCCCGTGCCCCACATCCCCAGCATCCTGCAATCCTTGAAGCTCCTCAGTTCCTAAACGCTGTCGGAGGCTGGGGGCTTCCGCCGAAGGAGGCTCCAGGCCACTTTCTGCGGTTCAACAAATTCACGGAGTGCCTAAACCTATGCATGTTAAACCTGGTGCGGGATGCACCTTGCGGGACGACTGTTGTTGGAGGATTTCTGTGCATTGGTGAAAAAGGGTTGCAATGGGTCACCGGTGTGATATTGTGTGATCAGAGCCCTGAAAAGCCAGGAAAAGCTAGGCGCCTGATGTCGTAGCAGGTTCGTCATCTTGGCAGCCCGTGTTTTCCGAAATGTAACGGTACTCGCCAGGAGTTGTGGCTATCAACCCTGACATCACCGACCCTGAGCAGTATTCCATCCAGGTCCTGCCGCGGGATGGGGCAGGGCTCCGAAATCCACAGAAACATCCAGAAACCACGGCCTTCCGCAGCACGCTGCATTGTTAAGTAGCTTACGCCAGGAGCAAAGTCTTGTTTGAAGAAACGGAAATGAAACCCTCAGCATTGAAACTTTGTACGTGTGGATTCCGCTCGTGATCACCACTCGAGCTACCATCCTCAAGCAATTCCCTGCCTTCTGACGCAGTACCCTACGCAGATATCCCCGCTGAGCCAGGATGCGAAGCTCAAGGCCGAGGAGGACAGCGCCAAGGCTGCTGCTGAGCTGAAGAAGCTGCGTCGGGAGCTCTGGGTTGAACTGTGATTTAGATTGGATATATATTCTCCTTAAGAATGACTACGCGGCGGGATTCTCGGCATTGAAGCTAATGCCTTGCATGCTCTCATTTGTGTTTTCTTGTTATCCCCTTGCATATCAGTACGGATTTCTGCTGGTGCTCGCAGTGCATTTGCCAGAAGCCATTGTTCATTCCGTGGGTCCTAGTTTGAATGTATGTTGGCGTGTTGTTGTGAGCCGACCCATACATTGGGTAGCCTTAAAAAAATGTGTGATGGGCCCAATTGGTTCTCGCAACCAGCAAGCCTCAAGCTGGAATGCTTGAGGTGTCCGCGAGCGAATTAGCGAGATCCGGGAAGAGCTCGTTGACCTTCAGGACAGCCTCTGCCCCTGCTGGACAGGGTGCAGGGCCAGGAAGTCAGAACAAAACATGAGTCTAAGTCATCTGAGGTGTGTGGGAGGCAGGTTTTTGGTTGCATGACTTTACTGTGCAGCTCGCCTCCCAGGCTTCCTGGATTCCAACGTGGAGCAAAACTTGTCTACAGACCAGGGAAGTAAATCCCTCCGCAATCCAGTCAAAATTGGAATCGCTGGCTCAGCCGCAGGCAAAGAACAGCCAGCTCACAGAAGCCCAGCTACTCGGAGCAGACATGGTGGTGGATCAAGAGCGCCCCGGCCAAGATCAAGAAGATCATTCTGAGTTGGCAGAGATGGTGAACTTAAATGTTCTTGCATGCCTTTGAGCCAAGGTACATCAACCATTTGAAGGAGGACATGGAGAATCAGATTGAGCAGGCTGAGAGGGTTTCCAGGCAATACGAACTGCCTCTGCGGCCAAAGGAAGTGCGATTGCGTATGCTTGAAGATGCGGACAGCAGACCATTGTTCCATTTGATTCCCCATTATTTGGGAAATGTCCCTATGTATCTTTATATACCCCTATAGAGGGACCTAGGGGTTCGATTTCATTTTCAGTTTTCTTTCTCATTTGATTCTCCATCATCTGACTCAATATATACTCCTTTTATAGACTTCATAATATAGCCCCCTGTACCCCTTGTATAATGCTATACAACCCCTTTATACTCCCTTTATACCCCCCAAATCCCTTTTGGGGGACCTAGGGTCAGGGCTCCACGGGTTTACATTCCCCCTTAAAAGGATAGAAGATGGCTGTGGGTATGTTGTAAGGAGATCCCCATATAATGAGATCCCCATATACCCCGCATATTCTATCTACTTAAGGGGGACTATATATGGGAGAGCCTGCCCTGCCTTCAGGTACGATTTGAGCTCGCGTGGTCGGTTGAGTTTCATGTCCCGGCCTCGAATGGAAGTGATGTTTCAAGGAATAGGGGGACCCCCAAATGGGGTCTGGGACAAAATGCTGTAATTCTTGACACAGTCACCCCCCATAAGCGTGCCCCTTGATCTCCGTAGAAAGAGCATGTGCTCAAGCAAGCAGTCTGCGGGGCCTGAGATGCCAGTTCCTACGCAGCCTACAGCCGCACCAGGAGCGTGGGTTGCAGAAGCTCAAAGACTACTACCTCAAAAGAGTGGACTTTGAGCGGGTGGAGGCACGTGCAATGTGCATAGTGCTTCAAGAGTTTAATAAAGATGCGCTGTTCCCGAATTTTCTGGGCTTGCTTGCTAGGTGCATGTAGACCCAGCGCAAACCTCTATAGGACTGGCACCAGTGCAGTGCCAAAGATGGTCCTCTGTGTGCCCATGGTATCCTTTCATTGCTATTCTTGATGTTATGCTTGTTATGGTTAGTATTGCTGCCGCTGATGTGGATTTCTGCGCTGGAGTCTGAGTTGGCTCATCTTCTTCCAAGTTGCGACTGACAAAGCACCAGATGCCTCATGATCGGGATCGCAAGAGGAACCGAACACGTTTGAGAATTCCCCAAAGGTTCAATACATTTGTGTTCGCACAGGTCCTGGGCTTCCAGTCTCCCCACCGCGTCTCCACCTTCCGCTGCTCGACGATGTCCGATGAGCTGCAGTCCAACCTCGCCAGGTGTGCCTGGCCAGGGAGGGCTCTGAGAGGGCCACTTTCCAAGATTAGGGTTTATCTGGGCACCCCCACACGTCCGCCTCGGCAGCAAGGTTTGGTAGCGGGTAGAGTCAACTCCAAGAGCCCTCATTTGGAAACTTCACGCGGTCAAATCCCTGACTCCAAGGAGCACGATGGGTCGAACGCATGGTGTTGTCTGCTCCTTCAGACCTGACGTGTCAGGCTTCACGAGCTCATCTTTGCAGCAGAGGGCGAAGCAGACCTCGAGGATCAGCCAATGTTGTGTGGAAGTCACGGTGCTGTTAATCTTGACAAAGAATTGCAAGTGGAAATCCCTAAGCACAGCAAAAACTGGCACTACAGTGTTGGCCTGATGCTATTTCGATCTTACCCGGAGAAGGCTATCTGACATCAAGACCTGGGAAAGCAACAGTGATTGCACATGCGTCTCGGCATTCCATAAAGATTGAGGAAAGTCAACAAGTTATAGCATGTCATCCGTTCCATGTAGTACGAGGAGAGACCACGACACAACGATTTGGTTTGGTGTCGGGGCCGTGACATGTCCAAGCCACTTATCCTGGTGAGAGTAGCGAGAACTCCAGCAACGAAATGAAGAGTGAATATAGAACACTCTTTCGACAGAAGTGGCAAAATCTGTGCCATGGGCGTAGTTGAAAGTTGCTGCGGCCCACGGGCAACATTAAAAGAAGGTCCTCCTGCAACTCTGGCAGAGAATTCTGCTATCCGCCTCGAGGGGCAGTCCATGCAAAACTGACTGAAAATGACACATGCGACAGGGACGCAGAGGCTGGCCTTGGGCTTCAAGAGCATGCCCCCAGAACAGCGGCGCAGGAAAACGGTCAGTCATGATAGGTCAGAGCTTCTGGGCCAACAGACGGCGTTTTGCGAGAAGGGCAGATTGGATGCGCCGGAAGCAGGGCGCAACGCGTCTGCCAGCTCGTCCCACCTTGAGCAAAATAGCTTCGAGGCTGTTCCGAAGAGACCAGTGTCAGCTATGCAGGAGGGCACAGGCTTATCAGCGCATGAGAAACCTTTGTGTCCTGCCGCAGAGGCCTTGTCACAAGCTACACCTGCAGTAGAGGAGGAGTACCAAAAGTTTTTCTTGGTTGAGAAAGACACGTTCTTCAGTTACACCCCCGCACAGCCGGTGTATGCCCGGCAGCGCTCGCGCAGTGAGCCGCCACCCAGCAAAACTTCCGCAGCCCCTACAATGCTAGAAGGGAGGCCTTGGCAACCCCGCCCACCCTCCCTTTTAGGCTCATAACATTATATACGCCAAACGGGGTAGGAACGTAATCACGCCGGAGCATTGGGGAAAACCCCAAATCTGAGGATCGTAATAGG